ATGGGATCTTTGTTAATAAATTTAGTAAAACATGAACGGTAGACGACCAAAACTGTACTAAATTGGAAATATATTAAAATAAATAGGTTTTTAGCATGCATCATGCATGTTTGAAAAATCAGGCTGGTTTCGTCTTTTTTAGCGTTTTTGTTTCATACGAACGAAGGACAATTTCATTCGAGCAACTTCAAGTAACGTATATAAAACAACAACAAAAAACGACTTTCAACACTTTTCATTCTTCACTCAATAGCATTAGGTTTTACTGTAGACATTTTGTAAATGTAGTTTTTCACCTCAGCTATATGCCAATCACGTTTTTGACTTTAACTATGGCCATCGACATTGTACAGAAATGCGTTGTTTATAAACAAAAAGAATGCCTTCTTAAATTTCATAAATTTCCGCGGAACTTGCTTATTGACTTGAAATAACTTCAAAGATGCGAAATTGTGCTTGAATTGCTTATTTCTGCATACAACAATGTGCTTTTAACCTTGTCGTGTCTATAACAATCATTCAGTCGTGAAGAATGTAAAATGAAACTTCGGCAAAAATTCAGATTTAAAATTATTGTTTTCTGACACTGTTTATGATCATTTTTATTATAAAGGAGCTTTTACATACAGTGTATTTTAAAGTTATTTAACTTTCCAAAAAATACATGCAATGTGAATATGATAAATATGTATATCCTGAATGAGAAAAAAAGTGAAAAAATGTACAGCTCCTCTTGAATAAAATCTAGTTACAATTTAAGTAAACTTCTTAAAAATATCTCCAAAGTTACTCCACAGCAAAATTTCATTTTTATCAAAACTTCAACGCACATTACCAGAATTTGTGGACATCATGTATTTCTAGTTATGTGTGAACATTATTTTATCTCTGGTTATAGCTACATATTTGTTGTAAGTTTTATACCTACGATAGTGCAAGTTTCATTTCAGTATTGATAATATCTTATCATTGTTTTTCTATAAAATAAAAAAGAAAATTTTTTTAGAAATACATAAAAACAAACTAGTTAGCTACTTTAACTGTCACATCACAGTAGCTACTAAATGCATGTCACTTATTTTACATTAAAATCCTTTCACTTACTTTTCTGACACCATCGTCCTTCAAATCCAAATGTGCATCTACATGTAGGAACAAATCTTCTGCGTCGTTTCCTCTGATCACCACTTTCCGACGTTTTAATCTACAAGATCCACCATTTTGACATGGATTTGGGCGACACTTTCTTGGTATTGCTGTTAAAAATAAAAGTAAATATCTAATATTGTAAAATTATCTTTAAACGAATAAAGCCGCACAGATATTTCTCCTGAATAGTTTAAGTTGCTGCATATATAGATATACATGCCCCATGTTAATAAACAGTTTGTAAATTCCTCTAAAACAACCTCACCCGTCCAAGGAGTGAGATCCAGAGTCACAAATATACTTATGATT